CGCAGCTGGGAGCGCTCCCGCCCGCCGGCGCTTGCTCATCGCTCCAGCACTGTGCGGCCGGGAGCGTGGGCGTTGTGGTTGCGGGTTTTAGGCTATTTTATTTTCTAATCGGGTATAGATACTGAGCTACAGTTGCTCCCATCTCGATCAATAGCTGGCTGCTTTATTCCACTCTGGAGCAGGAGGATTTATTATGCAGTGTTACCGAATTTCAGTTTAATACCATGCAGTATGTATTGTAGTCTGTCTGGATGTTCTTAGCAGGCATTATATAAAGACATTTCCTCAAAAGAATATCAAATTATGAGTTCAGCCACTTGAAAATTAAGGAATGGCAGACTCACTGTAGCTGTAGATGGAATGAGTAAAAGTAAAAAAAAAAAAAAATCATGTAATAATAAAACTCAGCTCTTCCTTCATATGATTGTAGTTCTCCAAGTCCTCTAGAAAAGAAATCAGTAGAAGTAGCTCTTTTGTTTTGCAAATGGGAAATAAGGTATAAATGAACGGAAGTGACTTGTCCAACATCACCTGGCTGAGAATGAAACCTATTCCCTGTGCTTCTTCCATGACACTGACAAGGAAAACTAGCGCACAGTGCACTTCCACAAAAGCATGATGCTTATGGTGCAATAATACCTTCTCCCAAATGAAGAGAAAAATCATAGAATTTTCTTTTAAATTGTTTCTATTTTCCTTACGTGATTTTTTCATAGAAGTGTAGAAAATAAGTGTGCTCTTTAAAAAAGTGCGTGGTTCAACCCAAGTCTTCCCCCAGCTGCTCCAAGTATCCTCACAGCTCCCAGCCATTTCTGGTCTAGAAGACGTCAGTGGTGTGGGACTCCCTCGGTAATGTTTGTCATCCTTTACCAGTGCTGGGGCCTCCTTTCATGCCTCCACTCCTCACTTCCAGCTCCCTTTATGCCATATTCCTGGCCCATTTTATTTCAAGGAAAGGCTGACGTTCTTGCTCCTTCCCTCTTGGAGCTCTGAAAGGCGACCTCTTCTCCCACAACTTTGTGTATTTTGGTTTTAGTCCTGTGCCGTTATTCAAGCTTTTAGGATTTTTAAACCAAGATGGCCAGGTTAGAAAATAGATGAATGAAGTGTTTGTTTGGGGAGAGATGTTTGCAGCTGCTTTCAATTTTTTGATTTGTGGGCAATTAAAGAAGTACATAAAGGTGCTGGTTGCCTTAAGGAAGCATGGTTTCTCTTATCCAGTTTTCACCTGTCAGCTCTGTTCACTGAAACCTAAAATACTCTCAACAGTTTGGTTTTGATGCAATATGGCATAGAAAGGATACTGAAAACCAGACAGAAAATATCCCAAGATTGAGGCTTTGCTTATTCCAAAGAAATGACCACTTGATACTGAGTTCAGAATTATTTAATATTCTCATTAACAATATAGATAATGAACTAGAAAACATGCTTATTAAATTTCCTAGCAACATATGGCTTGGAGGGGTTACAGGTATGCTACAAGAGATTATTAAAATTAAAATCCTGAGAAGTTGGAGATGTGGTTTGAAAAAACAGGGCATGATTCAATCAGAAATAGTGTGAGATTCCACTTCAAGACACAAATCAAGCAGTATATAAGGAGAAGCTGGAGAACAACTGGCTGAAGAGGATTTTTTTTCTGAAAAAAAATATTTGGAAATACAGTAGATCATAAACTGTGAGTTAACAGTGCTACAATGACACAAAAAGCAGACAAAAAAACCCCTAGAAGAGCAGTAACTGCTGCCCCACTTCTCTCATCCCCTTGGTGGCAGCATGAGCAGTGACGATGACACTCCAGATTCTTCTTTCTCCTCCACATTTTGTCTCTGCATCTTCCCCATCCCTTGTCCTCTCCAGGGCACAAGCAGTCCCAGCTCAACTTTCACCTGAGGCTGCAAAATCAGATTTTGCCAGTCTTGCTGAGGGATGTTTCCAAAGCAATGACTCTGTTGTGGTATGGATTGTTAATGTCCCAGCTAGGCTGTCCTTTGCAGTCTGGGGCTCTGTGCGTCAAAAGAAAATACGTGTGGGAGAAACCAAGATGGCTTAGGGGAGAAGAGCAAGTGTGACAAGAACTGTAGAGCCCCAAAAGAGA